CAAATTCTGGCATCTTCAAGTGTCTTTGAATGTCTCACCTGTTACGCTTTTGTTGTGTTTGCCTCTTTTTGTTTGTCTGGAACAGATAAAAAATAATGAACCTTTGATCAACGTGCTTTACAAAGTGCTGAAGAAGTCAGCACGGGGCTGTCGGCCCAGGAGAAGCGTAAGGCGATCTGATCTGTGTCTCCAAGCCCGGCATCCCATTGCTTCTGGCCCAGTGCCGACTCCATCACTTGCTTAACCCGGGGCTCTCCTGACAGCCCCCCGGCTTCCTGCAAGTCATCTCGGTTTATTTTCTTTGTATGGAAGCACTCTCCAGCACTGTGGCTGGTGCACGAGCCCGAGCCCTCCCGTCTGTGGTGTGGTGTGACTCCATCCTTCATGCTGCCCAGGGTGGGGCGCTTGCCTGGCTTGCCACCAGCTTGTGTCATGTTTCCATCCTCGCCTGTCTACCTCCATGGTGAAGGCTGACCTAGACAGAGGCCAGCATGAACTGTGGCATTGAGCATGACTGGGGGTGGGGTGGGGGCGGGGTGGTGGTGGCAGGGGGCTGCAGTCACTGGTCTCTTTGGAGGAGCCAGGGTAGCTGCAGGTTCTACGGTGGCTCTGGGGTTGAAGTGACTCTGCCATGGGGCAGGGTGTGACTAGTTTAGAACTGAACTAGAATAAACCTGCCCCATCTCACCCCTTGACTGACACAGAAGTTGTGACTGAGATGTGGCAGCTCTCGGCACATCCAGGAGAGGCAGCAGGTGTGGTGTCCAGCCCTGTGAGCCCTAAGCAGGTGTCTCGGCGTGTGGGGCGGTGAGTCAGGATGGCCTTGGGCTCCTTTCTGAAGCCGAGACTTCTGCAAATGGCCCAGTGCCTCTTTGACCTTTTTTTTTTCTCTCTCTTTTTTTTCGGTCACAGAGATTCTGGGAAGCATAATGGGTATTTTATTATGTGCAATGATACGTACTAGCCTGAAGCTCAAGAGGAGCTCTGCTGGTGTAGGGGGGTGCACGTGGGACTGCTCACCATAAGGTCATCAGTTTGAAACCACAGGTCGGTTGATGACTCGGAGGGAGAAATATGAGATTTTCTGGTTCTGTAAAGATTTACAGTTTCAGAAGCCACAGAGCCAGTTGGACTCTGCCCTGTAAGAATTGTTATGAATCAGAACAGACGTGATAGCATTGGGGGGGTTTGGGTTTTTGTTGTTGTTTTTGGTGCGTCTGTGTGTGTGGTATCACAAAGCTCAATTTTTCAGAGGAAAATTAGACATCATGAACTTCTGGTGAGTAATGTATTTCTGTGTAGCTTTGGCTGTATGGAGCAGAGCTAAATCCAGGAGCTTCAAGGCAGTGTAAACCGCAGTCACAAAGCCACCCTCTGAAGCCCATGGTCTTTTAAATCATTTTATTGGGGGCTCGTACAACTCTTATCACAATCCATCCCTCATTTGATTCAGGCATGTTTGTACGTGGTGCCCTCATTCTTTTCTAGACATTCACTTTCTAGTGAACCCTTGGTATCAGCTCTTCTTCCCCCCTCCCCCCTCGTATCCCCCGATAGATTGTACATTGTTATTATTTCATCTGTCACACAGACCGCTGTCTCCCTTCCCGCTTGTTTTCTGATGTTCTTCCTCCTGTAGAGGGGTGTAGGGTTATGTGTCGATCATTGGGTCTCGGTTCCCCCTTTCTCCCTTCCTCTTCCCCCTCTTCCCCTACCCTTCTGGTCTCACTGTTCCCACTCCTGTTCCTGAATTCTGTGTTTTGTGAGCTCCCATCCTTTCTTTATCTGTGCACATGTTAGGGTCTAGTTTGAATTGGGAAGCAGCACTGGGGTCACGAGCCCATGGTCTTTTGACTCCAAAGAGAGAGGTCTCAAACCCTTAGCAGAGCCACCCCCCTTATTGGTACACTCCCTGAGGAGACATTCCCGAACACCTTCCACACCTCGGTCCCCGGAGCCAGCTCTAATAGGTGCGGTATACAGGCAGGCAGAGTCTGTTCAGCAAATGTGCTAAGTCTCTCACAAGTTTGGCACTAGGTGTGGGAGCAACATCCTCTAAGGGGACCAAACCCAGTTCAAGGGAGGGGACACAGGGAAGGCCACCCGCCTCCTCTGTCGCGTTTTTGATTCTGATGTCCTTAATCCTCTAAGATCTTCACAGCAGCACCTCAAAAGGAGGTGGCAAGAGACAGCTACCCCTTAGGGAGGGTGGGGGTGCTGCTATCTCACGAACAAGCAGAAACAATGTGAGATGGGAGGGCTTCCAAAAGTTCTTGGGGAAATTCCAATGTCTTTTGATTTCATTTTCCTACAAACATTCTGAAACCCCCACATGTATGTTAATCTACAACAAAAGCAGACACGCAGAAATGTGGACTTGATACAAGTTCAAACTGTCCTAAGCATCCCCTTCGAAGAGACTCTAGAGTCCTGAGTTTTATAATGATCAATTCGTTGAGGGAGGAAAAGAGGTAGGTTGCATTTTTATTCTGTGTTTGATGAGGGCTGGGAAAGATAGCGTTTTAGATAGCTTTCCATCAACAAGCTTCATTTAAAAGACACAGCTCTCAAAATGTCCCACGTGCGCGCATGTATGTGGAAAGTACCTCATTCCTTTCCTGAGGATCCTGCGTAAACGAGGCACTGCTCTGTTAGAGCCTCTGCCTTGAATTTAAGTCTCCACAAGATCATCTGTAAAAAAGGTCAAGGATAGAAAGCATGAAGGGTTTTTTTGTTTTTGCTGAGGGGGAAATTCCTCAAAGCATCTTTCCATTTGAAACTGCTTCCTGCCTGGGCAGTGTGTCAAGGGCAACCCCTTTAGAGGCTCGACTAGCTCCTTGGGGCACAAGGAAGACATCCCTGCCTTCATGCCCATTCCCATTTCCCCCAGCTTCCTCGGGGCTTGGAAAGCCCCAGCCCTGCCTGGGAAGTTCAGCTGTTTGTGGTTCCGTAGGAAGACCTGGCTCCCATAGCTGTGGCAGCCTGGAAAACCAGCTGAGGCAGTGGGACTGTGTCACATGGGGTCACTGTGAGTCAGAACCAACTGGCACCCCACACCAGCAGACTTAATTCCACTACCTCCTTTCCCCTCCCGCGTGCGCCCCACCCCTGTGCCCGTCTTGGCACACGGCAGCGCAGTCTGTTTGTTTGTGGGCTGTTACAGTGGTCCTTGTGTTCTATGACTGTGCATATGCATGTCTGCACACACGGTCTGCCCGTTTGGAGAGGAGAATTTGGCTGGAGTTGTGCTGTTTGCAGAAACATGCAGCGTCAGCAGCATATGCGGAATGCCTTCCAAGGTGCCAGGCCTGGGGTTGGGTTTTGTTCTGGCTTTACATAGATGAGTAAGACAGTGTCCCTGTCCCCTGCTGGGGAACATGGCAATCACACGGGGACGGGCCTGCAGCCCGCAAGAGATGCTCTGCCCCAAGCATGGAAAGGTCCTCCTCCCTGTGATCTTGAGCTCCGGATGTGATCGGATTGGACGGGTCTGTCTCGGGAAGAGGCATCTGGAACAGTTGTGTACCATATTGGCTAGGCCTCTGAAGAGACTGCCCATAGGGTTCTGTGCCTGATTCACACACACAAACTTACTGGACTGCTCATGGGAGTGGAGGGGTGAGTGAAGGCCATCTCTCCAGCACTTGTCTGTCCATCTACACTGGGACTCTGCCCAGTACCCACCCCCTACCCCCCTCCCCCCCACCCCTGGTCACATCAGAGGTGCACACTGAAGTTCCCTGAGGCAGCCCTCCTTCATGGTACACTTTAGGCCATCTATAAAAAGTGCCTGCCAACCCGACTTTGGTTAGAACGGTGTTTGGGAGCACATTACAACATGGGCGAGAGATTGAGAGACTCAGGGGTGGGTCTGTTCGAGAGGAGATGGGAAATTCCCTTGGCCAGTAGTTTAGATAAGGAGCCTTGGTGGCATTGTGAATACACTCTTCAAGGTCGGCAGTTCCAACTCACCAGCTGCTCCACGGGGGAAAGATTACAACCTTGACGACTTGACCCTGTCCCTCCTCTTGTCTGTTGTCCCTGTAGTGTCACTGTGAGTCAGCATTGACTGCACGGTGATGGGTGTTTAGGTGGTTTTTGTCTTGGTGAGTCCCTTCCTTGAGAAGACAGAATAACTTGTGATTTATAGGAATGTGGCATGGCCTCACTGACTCAGCAGGCAGTGCAACATCCTGGCCAAGACTGGTCCAAGCTCCATCTTCCTTCGGCCCGATCGTCCCTCCAAAGAGAGGAGACTGAGGAGAGGCCCCCAGTCGACTGGCCTCATTCGTGGGGATGTGGACTGCTCAGGGACTTCCTTAAACCAAGTCTTTACCAGACTCGGGATTTACTTGTTCCTCCTGAGCCAGCCCACCCCCCACCCCCATCAGGCTCTGGTGATAGAATTGTAGTGTTATTTGTCCTTAGGTTCAGTAGCAAAACTCTCCTTAGTAATGGAACATCTCCCAAGATGCTTACTGCCTTATCACACTGATTTTAGGCAAATATATAGCTTCTACAATTGGTTCTAAACTGGAAAGTCTGTATTTGCTTTGAGGAATTTACAAGTGCTACACAATAGCCCTGGTGGTGTAGTGGCTCTGCAGTGGCCGGCTGTCTGAAAGCCCAGCAGTTGGAAACCCCACCCTCTCTCCAGGAGAAAGATGGGCTTTCTCCTCCCATCAGCAGTGGCCGTCTCGGACACCAGAGGGGTGGTCCTGCTCTGTCTCCAGGGCTCACTAGGGGTCGGCATCAACTCGAGGCAGTGAGTATGGTGAGTTTTGGGTACTAGGATCACAGGGAAGTTTTGGTTGTCTCGGAAGATGAGATAGGCATTAAAGGCAAAGTGGGCTTCGCCTGAGTTCTTGCCCTGCGCATGCCATGACTCTACTTGGCACTGCGAGATCTCCATACTCCTCATGGTGGGGCTCATTCCCTTCTCCTCCCAAGTTTGGCCTTGAGCACTGGTTAAATCTCCTTTACATGGTTCATCCCCCCAGATGACAGGCCGGGACCTTCTCAAGGACCGGAGTCTGAAGCCAGTGAAGATCGCAGAGAGCGACATTGACGTGAGTGAACGGGCGGGCAGGCTGGAGCTCCCTTGGCTGCCACCTGCCGCCAGGCCCGGGGTGGGGAGCTGCAGTCAGGCTGGGGTGATCTGTAATGGATCTTACTCCCCAGGCCGGCCCCTTGCTCGTCCTTGCCAGGCCCTACCCAAGCCATTCTTTTTGGCAGGTCAAACTAAGTGTCTTCTGCGAACAAGACAGGATCCTCCAAGACTTGGAAGACAAGATCCGAGCCCTCAAGGAGAACAAAGTATGCGTCACGTTTGTCTAGTCTTGGGGGGCAGTGGGGGGGGGGGCTTGGTCATCCTGTCTTCCCTCAGTCAGAGACTGGACTCTCCTGTCAGTACACCTGGGCTCTGCTTACCTAGAACAGTCTCTTTGGATCTAAAGGGTAATTCTCGGGAGGCTTCCTGGCTGACCCAGAGGAAACTCTATAAGGACACCTCAGCCCACTTGTTGTAGATACCACACCCCCACTTGGTTCTAGCCCCGCTCACACTGGAGGTCCTGAGAGGCCAACCTGAGAGCGAGGGACTCCACTGACTGCTACACGATGAGCCCAGATCCCAGCACCCTCAGGAAAAGGCTGACTTGGAGAAAAAGGACCCACCATCCAAAACAGGCAGAGACCCCTGACTCTGTAAAAGCCTCTTCTCTGCCATCCAGGCCGTAGGAGGAAGCAGGTCTGGCTGGGAGAGCAAGAGGGGCCTGGGACTGCCGGTGAAGTCTGCTGACTGGTAGTGGGAGCCTTAACAAGTTTCTACATCTTTTCCTTTGAAAAAGGCATTCTATGTCTAATATCAAAAGTTCAGGGCTTATGGCACCGTGTGCCCCGGAGCTTAGAGAGTTTCACGGCTATTTGCCAGACTCTGATTTGCTCTCATCGTGCTGACTTTCCTGTTGAGGAAACGGAGGCAAAGAGCTACTCGGGATTTCTGATCAGAACCTGTGACTCAGCCCCCAAGCTCCGCACTGGCCCCTTCAGCCTCAGTTAGATCCGGCCGCTTGGTTTGGTTCTGGACTTGGTTTGGGAAGGCTCCTGGTTGGGTATTCTCTAGCCTGTTGGCTCGTTGCCTGGCACAGGACCAGCTGGAGTCGGTGCTGGAGGTCCTGCACAGACAGATGGAGCAACACCGAGACCAGCCCCAGCACTCGGAGAAGATTGCCTACCAACAGAGGTTGCTGCAAGAAGACCTCGTGCACATCCGGGCAGAGATCTCCAGAGAGGCCACGGTGCGCAGGGCGAGGAGGGCGGCCTGCGGCGGCTTTTCTTCTCCACACTGTGGTTGAGCCGGTGGTGGGAAGCAAGGGTCTCAGTGTAGCTGAACTTCTCCCGAACCCTACTTGTTCCTTGGCCTGCTACCAGACCAGATCGTTCAGAGCAGCCTGCAAAGCTGTTTCTTCCCTGGTTGGAGTGTTAATTTTAACATTCCAGGTTTCCCACTTTTTCCTCCCACCTCCTGATAGGTCCAGGCCCTTCTGACAGGGCCAGGAATCAAAGAGTCCCAAAAGGTGAAGGGGGGGAACTGTACCAGGTGTCACAGTCCCCCTGTCTCTGTCCCCAGCCTTGCCTGAGGCCCACTGGGTACCCCCTTGCCCAGCTGGGGTGGACAGAAGTAGCGCCCGGTGCTTTGAGGCCTGTGCGGGCAGGGACTAACTAAGAACCGGAGCATTCCTTGGCCCACAGGAGATGGAGAATGCCTGGAATGAGTATCTGAAGTTGGAGAGGGACGTGGAGCAGCTGAGGCAGACGCTCCAGGAGCAGCACCGAAGAGCCTTCTTTTTCCAGGTGACCCAGGCCCGCCCTCCCCCCTGGAGCTCTGATGGCCTCTAGAGCCTTCACCTCTCAGTGGAGTGGAGCTGTGTGCACTCCCCAGGTGCCTTCTCCCCTCAGCCTCCATCCACCTCGCTTAAAGAGGCCCCCCAAGCTTTCCCCTGGGGAGCCCTTCCCCGGGCCAGACTGTATTGAGACATATCACCTCCACTGCCCCTGCATCTTGGCCTTCAGTGCAGGCCTTGGGCATGTTTGTGAGGGTTTCACGGCTGACCATTTCAGCAAGACAAGACCAACTGTGTGACCCTCATGGCCTTGAGAATGATCTATGTTCCTTGGTTTCCTGTCCCAGCCTGGCTTCCTCAGTGCCCACTGAGACAGCCAGCAGTGGGTGGACTCCACCCCCTCCCTTCCTCTGCGACCAGGCGATAGATGCCATCAGGCAGCCTCTTCCTGGTAGCAGGAGGTGTCTCTGGTCGCCAGCCTGTCATTTGCATTTCTGAAGACCAGGCTGGATAATGATACCCATCTCGGTGGCCAGGCTCCTTCAGGAAAGGTGTCCTTAGCCCCCTTCCTCCTCTCAAGTCTGCCCTTTCAAAACCAGGCCACATCCCATGGATAGCGGGCTCTGTCTCCCAAGGTGAGAGAGAATGAAAGGCCCTTTGGGGTTTCTCCTTGTACACTGGCTCCCCTAACTGCCTGGTGTTCCCCCATTGTGGGGAAAGTCAACGTAGTTGAATGGAGCCAGCATTGATTCAGGCATCCTTAATCAGCACAGTGCTAGGCCAGTTTTGGCCGCTGTGCTTGCTCTTTGAGGAACAAGATTCCTCTTTCAAGTGAGTTAATGACCAGGCTGACTATTCAGAAATCAGCCTTAACCCAGAAGGGTGAAGAATATTTGGGGCGGAGACGGGGGTGGGGTGGGGGGCAGGAGGCAACTAGGTTTGTAGACCCAGAGGCTTTCCCTAGGGCCCTGCTGTGCCTCCGCTCAGTCACAGACAGTTCCCAGGGAGCTGGGGAGCACAGGGCTGTCCTGTGAGGCGCCTCAGAACCCATCAAGTCCCCATTTTTGTTCCCTTAGCCTGAGCCAAAATCTCCCCTTGCATTTTTGTATCGCCATCCTAGCACAATGGCTTTGAAAGTACTAGGCGGATATTCTTGACAACATCCTTCCAACAATTACTGCTAGTTGTCAATTTTTCAACCCACCTGCCGTTAGACCTGTCTTCTTGGCCTTCAGCAGCCCACGTTCATTTAAAAAATAGTTTCTTTAGTCTTTCTTTATTTCTGTAATGCCACAAAGAACACATGAAGACACCTCTCTGCAAGAGCCAATGCAAAGCACAAGCAAATACCCAAGAAATAAAAGCTCTTCTTCCCCGACCCCTGGCCTTCCTTCTACGTAATCAGGGCTGTGGGCATGCTGGGTGGCCCTGCACACCGTTTCATAGCCTTCTCCACACTACTGCAGGGACATGGGGTCACGTTGCTGTCGGAGGAGGGGGCACAGACAGAAGGGTTATTTCAAGAGGGTGATGCTGAGGGACTTATTGTATGCCATGGAGCCCTGGTGGTACGTTCACACCCATCAGCTATTCCAGGGCAAAAAAAGATGTGGCAGTCTGCTGCAGTGCAGATTCAGGACTTTGGAAACCTAACAGGTCGGTTCTTCTGAGGGTCCCTGTGAGTCAGAACCCCCTCGATAGCAGTGAGCTTTGTTTTCAACAGTGTGGAAATCTTTCCTGGAAAATGCATGTGTCTCCAAGTTCATGCTGTCCGACATGTGGCTACTTACATTTAGATGATCTAAGAGAAAGTAAAATTAAACCTTCATGCTGCCTCAGTGGGAGGAAGAGAATAGTTATTGCTTAGTGGGTACAGAGTTTCTGTTTAGGATGATGGAAAAGCTTTGGAAATGAATTATAGTAATGGTTATACAGTGAACCCTCGTTTATCGCAGTTAATCGGTTCTAGACCCTACCGTGATAAATGAAATTCCGTGAAGTAGGATTCCTTATTTGTAAATCAAATATTTT